AGGAGGGTTGCCATGACGAGACAAAAACGGCTGCGTGGGAGACTAGGGTAAAGTCAAGGAATGGACAAGCTGGCAGCAGCAGAAACATTCCTAATAACTATAGTGTGAGTATTATTAATAGCTGAATGCCTTTGGGGTTAAATCCCCCCATTTAAAGTAATCCAAGACAAAGTAACTGGATTCTGGATTCCACAACTGTAGATTCTGGATTCCAGGTACTAAATTATATTCCAGATTCCAATCATTAGGGGGATTTATAGAATTCGTTGAGCTGAATTCCCAAACAGAAAAGAAAAAGCAAACTAAAAGAAACACTCAGATAAGTAGACCAAGAAATGTTTATCTAAGGAGGCTACAACAGGTCAAAATTCAAGTGACTCTAATCCAGACTGGACAAGAGAATACGTTAATGATTAGTTGATGTTAAAATAATATAATTATATTAAATTGATAACAAAACCCCCTTTGACGCAGTTACATAGAATTTTTACTTTTACTTGCGCCACCAGTTAAAACACAACATGGAGCTATCATGGAAGATACTAAATACGACCAGAAAATATCCATACCACCCCAACAGAAGGCATTTGCCGTATGACCCCCCTCCCCTTTAGATTTTCCAAAATCAACCCCCAAAATGTACCCCCCTCCCCTCCGGAATTTCCAAAATTTTCACACACCCCCTGGAATAATTGCTATCTGAAGTGAACAAATAAGTAGTTTTGTTCACTAGGATGCAAATTTTGTGAGTTTCATGTATTTTCTGTTGAATTCTACAACAGATAAGCGAATTCCTTATGTGCTCAAGTCATGAAGAAATTGTTGAACATTAGTTCTTAGCCTCATTGCAAATGAAATGCGTGGGAAATATAACTGTACTTTTCTCTCACTGCATCAAGAAGAAAGCACCACTTGAAGCAGTATAAACAAAGAGATCAGGACCTTCTTGCACAATAAGACAGTGTGAGTATCGACTTTCGTTCTACCAAATTTGCATATTTGAGTATGCGGTAAAATTTCATTTGCAAGAAAATTGTCACGCAAAGTGTGGAAAAGACTCTTTGTAAAGTTCTTCTTTGTGATAAAGAAACAGTCAAGTGAACAAGGAATGTAACGAATTAAAATGAAAGTTTTGTTCTACTGGCTCATTACTACAAAAGCATGCATAAAAGATAAAAATATTATTTTCGGGAAACTTGTTAAAAAAGACCCTTAAGTATTGAATAAAACATATGTCGATACTGTCGATAATCAAATGATAATATGAAAGCGAAGATGGTTACAAGGGAGCAGAGATCTGAGACAGTATTCATGATGTGTTTGTAAACAAACTTTAGTAACGTGGCCACTCACCTAAGAATGACCGATCGTTCGACGTGAATGGCTTAAACGACGAAATTATTTTTGGAAGGAAACTCGGCTAAAATTTATCTTCGAACAGATAGCTTCAGTCGCTCGAACGTTCCCACCCTTATCAAAAAATGAACCCTAGCCCCCACCCCCAGCAAAACAGCAAAATTAATGGCAGTTCCCTTTCACTGGTAATAAACAACCAGTCTACTGTTCTGATGAGCATTACCACCCGTTTCATATGGGAGACCCTCCGAGACGTGTAAGCCTCCTAGCTTAAGGGACCTTTCAAGACCGAAATCGAAACTAATGCGCATCACATGATATCGCCGATGTCAACCATGAAATAAACCATTAAAACTCTAGATTTGTTTAAGTTTGCAATTTTTCCACTTGTAGGGAGAGAGAGAAAAGTAAGACAACAATGGAGGGTACAGGTTACTGCCGGTGCATATAGCTTAAGTATGAAATCAACCACTTTAGCTTAATAATAGATATGGAGAATTTTTAATCCAAGGGGCTCACCTCTGGAGTCCATTAGCCATGTAGAAGGAAATGCACCTAAAACAGGCCCGATCGCTCCTAACGATGACAGTAGGAGAACTGTCCATCTTTCCCATCCAAATACAAGTCGACAGGGTCGCTGAATAGGTCCCCACGTATTCCACATCATGTTGGACACGATCGAGGTCATCGTGAAGACAAATAGAATGTACCATCTCCTCTTGTAAACTCTGTACTGAGTAAAACTCGAACAGGCATTGTCTTCATTGCAACCGGAATTGTTAGAAGGTGATTTTTCGTCATCGAGAAGAGCGTTTCTTTCAGGGTCTGTCATTTCAAGGACGTCGAGTCCCCTGTTGAAAAAATATAAAATTATAAAAACGAGACCCTTTCGTGACCGGCCGGCCAAAAAAGAGAGCCAGCCAAGTCCCTCGCACACCTCGGTCAAGTCCCTTGGGGTTTCGGCTCGATGGGAACTGGAATCTGCTGTAGGCGGTCACGCGTTTCTCGTTCCAGACGTTTCTTTTTTTCTCCCTCTTCTCTCTCTCTCTATCTCTCTCCTAGAACTTTATTTTGAGAATGGACCTCTGGAGCCAGGGTACTCGGTGGGTTGTTAGGGTGCATACGGCTTCTTCGGTGTTCGGAAAACCGTTGCACCACGCGTATGTTAACTTAAAACGCGACCCCAACACCACCTTCCTGACATCTATCTACCGGGAAAAATACACATGGCACAGGTCTTTTTTTGTCTCTGTTTAGCGTCGTCCAACCGACTCAAATTTTTGACATTTTCAAAAAAAAAAAAAAAAAAAAAAAAAGGACGACGTAGTTAAACCAATTTTCACTTGAAATAATTCTTTTTATCTGGCCAAATATGTGAAAGTTAACTTTAACAACTTTTAACGTCGTCCTGGGGCACCAGCGCCTCCTATTTCGAGACTTCTTGTGATTCTTTTTTTTTAGGTTTTTTTTTTTTTTCAATCCGACCGACCGACCGACCCAATATCAGGAAATGCATTCGACGCTTAACCAAAAAAAAAGGGGGATGGCCTTCTACTAAATGGGACTCTTTCACTCCTCGCAAATACAAAATAAACTTAATTCGCTCTTTCACTTATCGTTGCTACCAAATTTGCTTCTCCTCATCTTTGCTACAGTCTGCCCTGAATGATCTAAGAAAACTTCCTCTTCAAAATGGTTACCCCCAAGGAATAATCAATTTCAACATCAAATGATTTGCCGGAACGAAACCGCAACAAGCGAGATGACCCTGTACCTATGGTTCCGAAGAAGGATGTTATTATTCTGTTACTTTATTTAGGTTATCACCCAGCAACCAAATTTCTAAGCGTCTGAAATCCTGCATTTGTCAGTTTTACTCTTCTGTTAATTTAAAGATATTTTTTTCAAAACACTGCCGTAAATGTTTCTCTTCATACAAGGACCGCCTAAATCGCCTGTTGTTGGAATTGTCAGTGATTTTTACATTGGTAAAACTAAGCGACGGCTCCATGACAGAAAGACTGAACACTTCAAGTCCCTAACAAATGATGATCACTCCTCAGTTATTGCTGACCATGTCACTGCCATCGGACACAGTAACATTAAGTGGGATCATTTTGAAAATTAGGCATCTGGCAAAACAGCTAGATTAATTAATTTCAAACATCAGCAGTGAAAAGCAGATGCTTTATTAGCTGTTGCCTTCTGGATTCAATATTGTTAAGAATTTTTAATTCTTAATCTCATATCCAGACCCCTTGAAAATTTTTGTATACATAGTCTCGTCATTATCTTTAACGGTCACTTTCAGATCACGTTTGAAAATGTATGTTGAAAAGCATACGAAACATCAACTTATAAAAATGCGAAAGCTCACAATGTTTATCATCCGGGGGTTTATCGCCGCTGTTCGTGTTTTATATTTGATAATCCTGTAAGCTATTTGACTGGTTTATACTACCATGAAAAGTAGGGTTGTGAAGCAGTATAGTCTATGACAGGGAATAGCCTAAAGTGGGAGTCGTTAACAGATGCAGTATCGTCTCCCTCGCAGCCGTTTCTGTCTTGTCACGCACACTCCTCCCCAACAACCGGCCTACAATCAGTGCCTGCTTGCCTGGTCCCTAGCTAGGCCTCATTATTCCGCGCGACCGCCAAAAGGTTTTGCTTCATGTGACCCAAGCTCGTATACGTCACCGAAGTGAATTGACCGAGAGGGACTGGGAAAACGCCGTACAGGGACTGGGTAAGGTGCCCACTTAGGCACCTATTATCGTAGTCTATAATAGGCTTGCAAAATTCAGCTAAACAAAGTTGGAACAGACTAGGGTTCACTCTCCACCCAGAAATGCATGATAAGTAATATACACCAGGGTATGCCTAAAAATGGCAAGCTATAAACCAGGAGTATAGAAATTGCCAACACAATTTTTATGTCTACGTTTCCAAAATATTCTTTAGTTTACGGCCCTGTAAACGCCATTTTAGCAAGTTTTGATGTTTCGGTTTCTCACTTGCTAAAATGTCGTTTTTAGGGCCTTAACTTAAGAAAACAACGCAGACACAACTCTTTATGATGTATGTATACTTTACTAGATGTTTATGAGCATTTTAACCGTTTTATCGATCTTGTGATAAGTCTCCATAGAAATTCCTGTAATTTGACTTCCAGTAGCCTGTTGTGAGTCTAGGCGCCCTGTGGTTACACTAGCACATCAGGGTAACCCTATCTGCGCATGCTTGGCAATTACGTCTGTACTCCTCTAACAACAGCACCACTAAAAAAATCGGTATTAAAAGTATATTTTTGAGCAGTTTAAATCACGTTAGTTGAAGAAAAAAAAAAACATTTTTCAGCCTTAACTTTCTCTCTCACGCTTTATGAATAGTTTGTAAAGATGGATTATTTTTTCTCAAAAATTAAAAATTTACTATTATCCAGAAATCTTTACAATAATATGGAGAACGCAATCATGTCCTTCGATTCGGGATCCAGTTATAAGTTTTAAATATAGAACCTCCGTGCCAAGACTCTATCTGTCCAAAAACTAATAACAAAATGATTGACCGATAGTAATGGAAAGCAGTCTCTAAACTAGGTGATAAGATAATTAAAGAGATCAGAAATTTTAATTAATGGTTTCCTAAATTCTCTTTTTATAGAAAGCTTTCCCTGTGCCGTTGAGTTCTTTTTCGAACTGCAGATGTTCGTCCAGTAGTAACTTTTGCAACTGTGCTCGTCGGACCTACAGTGAACAGGAAATAAAAAAACGTCAATTTATAATATTAATCGGTATTTGGATCAACGAAAGAGCATCGATACTTGCTTGAATGTGAAGTATCGATAATTGTAAGTTTGCCCTATGTAATGGAATCCAAACCAGTCTTGGATTAATTGTGGATTCCACGCGTTGGAGTCCGGATTCCAGGTAATGGATTACAGTCTTGGTCAGTGGAACTTGGATTCTGGAATCCAATCGTTAGTGGGATTCTGGATTCCTTGAGCTGTAGTTAGAATTCCAAGGCCAAGGATTTCGGATTCCATAAGCAAACATTACCCGGATAGGCCAGAGGCGAGTAAGTGCTGATCATTACCCGCTCGAAACCACTTTGTAAGAGGTGATTAATATTAGGTCCCTCGGATTTCCTCCTTGTTTTACCAAGAATGGACGCGACCAAACTAGATTCAAACCGAAAACGTTATCCTATAAGACCAAGCTTTGTCTTTATTAAAATGTAAGGATTGTTTGTAACTGTGTAAGGCCTGGTAAATTTAGGCCAACTCAAAATAAGTTAGGTCAGCTAATTTGATTCAGACGCTGATCTTTACTGCGGCCGAACTAAATTCAAAAGGAAAAAATATGCCCATTTCTCTTCCTTACCTCGAGAGAACCCTGAACGAGGTTGCAAAACCTCCATGTTTTTTCAGGCTGGAGAGCAAGAGAAGCACTTGGAGAAAAAGTAAGTAAATTACGATTTCAAATGATGCGATCTTTCTTTTTTTTTTCTGTCCCAGTGCTGCAAAGGGCCTACTGTATTTAAATGTAATTCGACCAAACAGACGCTGAAAAGAGATTAGGGACTTTAAGATCCAACGACGCGACGGCGACAAGAACGTCGCTTAAAAAGTGAATATGCGTTCTTTCAGTCTTATAGCGATTATTCCTACCCACTTACTTTGTCAATTGTAGGCGAACCCTCCTGAAGCTGAATTTCAAGGGACCATAGCCAAGCTCAAAAAGAGAAATAAAATTTCGTCGTTGTTTGTTTATGTCCTCCATAAAACGCGAAATTAGGCATTTTCACGTCGCAGTCGTGCAAAAACGGGGAAGAAAGGTACAAAAAAGTGTGATGCACGTGCGAAATTGCGGTTTTGCTAATTAAACCTATTGTTTTTTTGACGTTCTCGTTGTCGTCCGCGTCGTTGGATATTAAAGTCCCTACTAACCACCAACACGAACAGGTGGATATATACTCTTCATAGTGATACTTATTTTGATACCTTCATGAACTCTTCGTTTGCCATCTTAAGCTCACTGTCCATCATTTCAGAATTCCTTTTCTCTCTTCTTTTTTCACTATCCTGTTGAAAACATGAATTACACTGCAATGAGATATCAACTCCAAAAAATGGCATATCAGTTTGAAAAGCAAATTCAAAAGAGTTAGTTTTTTTGGTCGATGACTATCAAAGGTTTGACTATCAATCGATCGCATCAATCACAATTTCTGGAAACTGTGGAATCAATGTTGTGCAGTGCCTCGATTGGTCGTACTAGACGACATAGCAAAAATAACTGTACCTCTTCTAAGCTGGTAAACCATCGCGCCCTCTCCAATTCGCTGGCAACCCTAAGGGGAAATAAACCAACACACATTAGGAAGCATGGAAACGTTCCGTATCAAGGTGAAATCAGGTGAAAGCCAATTCGCCGTGATGGTTTTTTCAGTTTCTGCACCGCCTCTCGTGAATCATGCATCTCTCTGTCTCTTCTTCTTTAATAGTCTTATTCTCCTTCATGTGATTAAAGGCCGTAAATCGAGTGAAGATTTATTGACTGTAAAGTATCAAATCAAATCGTTATTTTCAAGGGCGCGGTTACAAACCAACAATAAGCGTTTTTAGTGGTTTTGTTTGTTTGTTTTGCTTTTCTTTATTTTTTGTGGAGAGAGCTTGCCTCTTCAATTACATTGGCCCCCCTCATTCCTTCCCCGGCCAAATGTTGATTGATTAAGAAAGATTCAGAATGTATGAGCGTCTTATACGCACTTGTTTTCTGCGTCTATACGACTTGCAATCTTTTCATCTGTCTGTTAAAAACGACAAGGCAAAGTGAGTTTAGACTAAGATTAGTTAAATTATGTGCATTGTTAGGTTCGAATTTCGCAGCTATCTATGGTGGTAATCAAGCCTAGCACATTGTACGCTTAATTAAATCCTTTAATTTCTCCAAGCACTTAACTACCAAAGCTGAAATCATTTGAATGTTCACTCCACAGAATTTTGCCGTCCGCAGACTCAAAAGTTAATCATACTAACAAATGAATAGTACCATGACAAAGTACTGCTGAAAAGATTTCGTCTGGATGGTCACACCACAGCAATGTGTCCTTAGACCGGAAAGTTAGAACCAACTTCCAAGACTTCTGGCAGTGAAAAGGTGTTAATGTACATTTCCAGTGGTTATAAAAAGGAGCCATAAAGAGGAGAGGTCTAGAGAGGTCGAGAGATGCAGTAGTCTAGTAGTAGTTTTTGTTTCTTCATTATTGAGAGAAGAACCTCCAAAGTTCGGGTTTTCGGAATGTGATCTTACCTCAATTCGCGACCGCTGCAATGCTAGCGATTTGCGAAGAAATTGTGCATTTGAGCTAGGAACTTCATATCTGTAGCTCGTTGTAAAAAGTCGATCATCGGACATTTTTATACAAACCTCGAAGTACTTTTAGTGCACTTTGTAAAATTACACTCTAAACAATTACAATATTAACTGAACTACCATGCGGTTGCCATGGCAATCTGTGTACTTAACGCTTACGGACTCGTTGATATGCAAACTCGCCGATTTATGGATGAGTAAACAAAGATAATTGATAACTAAGTGCTATTGTACTTTCGAGGACCAAGCTAAAGTTTACTAAACAAACTCGCCAATAAACAAAGAGTGTTAGATAATGCTATAGCCATGCAATAAGAATTGTATTTCATAGGGTGTTTTGACTGTTACTTTTACGAAATCAGTTCATTTCACTACGAAAATTAAGTCTGTTCACTGCTCAATAAATGTCGTCCCCAGGGCCTTTTTGCTTCGAAAATAAGAGAACGGTCTTTTCCAGTCCCCTACATTTTCTAAAGGAAAAACGATGGGAACGAGGTTGGCCAAAATGGTTTGGTAACAAAGGGCAACTTAGACCCTGTTTACATGGAGTGGGGGACCCCGGTCTGGTGGGGTAAGTTTCTTTTGTTTTGTGTCCCCCAGAGCGTGAAAACAAAAGAAACTTACCCCACTAGACCGGGGTCCCCCACTCCATGTAAACAGGCCCTTAGGAAGGTAAAACAGTAATAAGTACAGCAATAAGCGAGGTCGGCTCAAAGTTCATAAGCGATTAGTCAGACTCTAAGGGTGAATATTAGACGTGTTAGCGATTGTTAGCGATGACCCCTTTTCCCTACTGAAAATTATCCCCAGGAAAGGAAATTAAGGGAACAACGCGGGGCAAAGGAAGTAAAATTTTGTTCTCCGTTGCAGTCGTACCCAGGCCCATCGGGATTCAGTCTACCGCTGCTCTAGCTACTTACGGAGCTAGGGCCAGAGTAAAAAAAAGAGGTCTGATCGATTAAGGTGGCGACATTCATTAATGGGTCATCGAATTCTTTCTTTTTGTGAGGATCACAGCCCTTGTGAGAAGAGCAAGCAGGGCTAGAATACTATCGCATACATCAGTGTTAGAATGTAATGAACACACCGTATCTGTCTGCTTCTGACGGATAGAACGTCCAGCCGAACATCGTCTCCAGTCCGGGCACATGCAACGAACTGAACTAATAAATAAAAAAGTAATTTGTACGATAATACATTTTTAGCCTCGTTCGGAAGGAATTTCATACTGACCTGATCGGTTCGACGCGTCCTAAGTTCGACGTCTTAAACAACAGACGATCTTAATTTAATTAAGGTCGCCTTAGGGTGGTTCGTCTCACAAGAAGTTCGAAGTTTGTACCAAGGCCTCGAGTGATTTCAATTTGCGCAAACAGTTAAGATCGAACTCAGTTTTAAATTTGATTAGAATAGCCTCCAGACACAATCAACAACGATGTGATGATATCATTCTTAGAATAAGGTAAGCAGCATTTCTCGTCACCTCCGCATAACACAAAATCAAAGCCAAGGAAGCTAGACTCAGTAACATTCCCTTTCCCAAATATGAATGAAGCTTGCAATAACGTACATCACAGCAAAATAAATAAATAAACAAAGCAATGCTAGTAATTTACCGCGGGCATTTAATCCGGCTTCAAGCATCGCAATGTTTTACATCAAAGGACTTACGGTTTAGTGATATACATTATCTTTGAGAAATGCATAACATTTAAGCAAACCAGCTCTTCTGCTAAACTCGGACTCAAGAAATGTTGCAAGTCTTTACACACGCACACTTTCGTCCATCGCCGTGTTAAAAAAGCATGTTTGACCGTTTAGCCATAAACTTTGCATGCAAAACGCTCAATTGATTTAGATAAAATTTTGACCAACAAATGTAAGATGGTATAGCCACCACTTTGAAGGACTTGAAGGATCAATAATTCAAAACCCGAGGAGAGTGGGAAGATTTCTTCGTCCATCCACTAGATAAGTGAAAATGAAATAACAAGCAATGTTCCTTGTCCAGATGGAAGACAACATGATCTCGCGGTCCAGGCAAACGGGTTTACATTCTCGACAATCTTGATCAGTCGAGAAAATAGTATTATCACTGTTGTACAAGAATAAAAAGAATTTTCATCCGCTACAGCAATTTCTTGTAATAATGTGATCGGCACACGGGACACACTGGTTTTCTGTCGAGTGAGAATTCTTCAAATGCATCCAGGCACGTGGCATGGAACACATGTGAACACGACAGCAGAACAGTGGGACGAGATTGGTTCTTCTTTTTGTAGAGTCCCTTGGATGTAAGCGGCATGATACATATTGGACAATCCGTCACACAACGCTGTACAGCCTAAAAAAAGGGGAAAAAAAACATTTCAGATAGGCTACACTTCATCCCTGACAGACATCGAACAAATACAAGGCTCACCAACCGAGATAGGGGGTAAATCGTTTCCTGCGAAAACTTCCCATTGTTTCGGCACTCACCTGAAGTTGAACTTGCTCCCAGTCTGTTTCTTCTATGAATTCGTCAGCGTTTTTATCAAGCTGCCTGGAAAGAAAAAGTCAAAACAGTGCGTCTATTATTAGCATAAATACTATACCACATCGCCGACTTCCTTGGGGAGTAAGTGAGTGTAGAGAATATGTATCTATGCTGTTGGTAGATTCCGAACTTCAACATACCCCGTTTGAACGTTTGACAACCGTTGGACATTCGAACCTCCCGTAAGCGACTACCACGAAAGGCAAAGACTGAGTGGTCAGTTACAAGAATCGAACAATAGAAGTTAATTGAATTGCGTCAATGTCTAAGTTATGCCATGTGTAGTTCCATGTTGTCACTAAAGTTCTTCGTATATTCTAAGTAGCATAGTGCAGACAGCGTACATAGAGATCAGAGAATGTGTCAAGCGGTCGCGCACAAGAGGTTAAAAGCAATGAAAATTCATCAAACCGTCAGGCCCAAAAAGTGGTCGTGGTCGCTTACAGGAGGTGGTCGTTTACTAGAGGTCCCAACTGTAAGGCTTTGGCCGGGAAAATTTGTGTCTTTTGTATCGGCGGTCGCTTATGGGAGGTGGTCGCTTACGAGAGATGATCGCATTTGGAAGTTCGACTGTGCACCCTTTCCCAGTAACCGTAAAAGAACACACTTTTCCTGATATTATGCAAAGCTTTGATCTCTACTCCAACAATTTTATCGAGGTACTCTATTTGAAACGAAATTCTCCGACAACTTTTTCCAACCCTAACACCGGGCGAATTCTTAACATAATACATTTACAGTGTGCCAACCAACGCGTTGTAAAATCTCCCCCCCCCCAAGCGCCCCCCTATCCTTTGCCGTGCCCACCAACGAGTCATAAGATCTTAAAAGTTAGCAAAGTGAGCTTCAATACATGAGGTCGAACAGCGACCGAGCGAGCGACGAAGTCTCGAAGTCGACATGTTTCGCCCGAATGGATTTGAATCACATTATAAATTTACATGGAAAAAAAATGATTCACATATGCTGTGTCGGGGGAGGTGTGAAATATCACTCACTGTCCTATTGGTCAATTATCATGACGTAACTGGCAGAATTTTCGACCCGGGAATTTCGCGCCAAACAGGTATGAAAAGTCCTTTAAAATGGCATAACCAACCAGGAAGAAAAATAATTATAAACGACTTTTGGTACCTGTTTGGCGCGAAATTCACCGATCAAAAATTTAATTAATAAGTCTATCTGGAAATCACTGCAAGCTTCAGATTATCAGAAAGCAGTTAACTGTACAACACTAGCCTATTCACTGTCTTAAGAGATCATCGAGCGTGCGTATGAATAAAACAAAACAAAAAAAAAACCGCAGGGATTTTTTGACCGCTAGCGGAAAAAAATAGTTCTTTCTTTTTCTTTCTCGCGAGCTCAATTTGCTCGCTGTTCGTCGATTTTCGAAAAACAAGAGAAAACAATGTCTGTGTAAATGCTAAACTAACACTGTAGGTTGCGTGGGCAATGCTTTATTTCCAAGAGCAATGTCTATTCTTTTCCTCCCTGTGTGGAGACGCTACACGCAGGCTATATTCGTTTTGGAATATCGTAAACTATGTTCAGTGCGACGGTGTTTGTTTCGTTATGTTTTTTAAAACAGTTGTTAGATTCGGTTTTTGTGATTTCCGTAAAAATCAAGGTCTCTCGGTTAGTGTTTAAACATGTACCAGCTTTGGCTGGAAACGCTTTGTCTCATTAATGTCGACCTTGATTATTCCGCATATCGCAGAAACGGAATCTAATAATTGTTTTAGGTATGGAGGTCAATAGCTTGCATCACCTCATTGTATGGCGACTGGCAGCAATAGATTGGTCAATCTCTGATAGCAGCTCATCAACACTCTGATTTCTGGCCTCCATTGACTGCAGAAGCCGAGCATTAATGCTATGGAACTACAAAGAAAATAGTACATGCCACAAAATTACATTCCAGTATAAACCTTTTAACAATTGCAAACAGAATCCCAAGTGATGGTGTGACCATTCAAATGAAACCTCTTCAACCGTACTTTCACATCGTACTACCTGTTTAGAATCTAGTTCTAACTTTTGAGTTTGTGGATGAAATCCTATGGTGTTACCATTCAAATCAAACCTCTTCAGCAGTATTTTAACACGATGCTATACATTTAGTGCGTACAGTTGTAGTTCTAACTTTTGAGTCCGTGGATGATATACTACGGTGTGACTATTCAAATGAAACCTCTTGTTTACGTGGTCCTATTCATTTAGTGTGTAGTTCTAGTTATAATGCTAATACTATCAATTTTAGAATAGTATGAAGTTTCGTATGTGGACGAAATCGTGTGTTGGCACCATTAATGAGATCTCCTCGATGTTTGGCAGCATCTACGCTTGATAGTGTTGCCCGAAACATGCTTGGTATATTTGACAAACTGTCGCCCTCAAGTAAACCCAAAGGACAAACCTTTAAATTTTAAAAGCTCTATACCTGTTAATTCTGTGCTAAGCAAAAAATCAGCAAATTGCATAGACACTTGTAGCTTTTTGCCGT